TTCATCGTAGTTATAATACAGCCCCTTCAGCATTCCTTTTGTCATTTCTGCCTTTGTTAGTTTCTTTATAACTGGAAAGGAAGTGTTATTAGATTGTGTCGTAATGTTGTTACTCTGTAGAACCGGTGTTTCTTGAACTGAATTGTTACGCTTGTCACAAATCGAGAAAAGTCAATATAATTGTGTTTGGTCATAATCCACAACCGCTGTTTCTTTTCAAAAACTCTTGTTATACTCATTGCATGCATAAGAGTGGCAAGTGATTGTATCTCGACCTCTAAGCGAAGACAATTCAATCAGTTTTACTGTGAACAAACTTACATGCTGATCAACTCAAGCAAATCTGTTTGTCCATGCCAAATTTTTCTGAAACTGCATCTGATACTTCATAACTGATCCTGTTTTTTTCAAGTTCACCAGCGCCCCTAATGGGTTACTTCCGGCTGGCGGTCCAAAGCTTATCGAGTAGTATTCCTTGAATCCAGCCCAATTGATTGTGGGTTGTTCAAATTCTAATTGATGATATCGAAGTTGTGCTTCACCGAGCATGTGGAAGGCAGCCAATTCCACTTTATCTCTTACCAGTGTGTGTTGATTGGTAAAGAATATCTCACACTGATGTAATCATATAAGAGGATTATCAGAACCGTCGAATGTTGGAAAGACTAATTTAGTGTAGCAAAAAACAACCACATTACTCGGATGATGGTTTATGCCTTGCGAATGACTTTTCCCGCGTGAAACGTTTAGGGCGGTTGTTCTCGTAAGTTATGACTACTGGCAATTCCTTCTGAAATAATTCGCATGTTCTAACCAATTCTAGCTAACATCTCCTTGAATTGCGAGGATAACTCTTGCAGCTAAATATCTAAGCATCTTTCAATTTCTGCTATTCGTGTTTCGGTTGCGGCTAGAGCTTCCTTTACCATTAATCGTAGATCTTCCCTTGTTGCAGAGTCGGCTATTATGTTAGGCTTTGATACCAATTTGTTATGTTCAAGAGACCAAGATTTTATCACTGGGTGGTTATAGGAAATTTTCAATTCGATAATCTGCTTCTTCTCTTTGTTGCGATTTTGTGAGCGACTTATTTTGTAAAAATATATTACAATTCATCAAAAAGAGCTGCTATCTTGGATCTCGTTAAAGAGAGCTCCAATCTAATACTTTAAAATAATATTCTGATTTATTTTATTAATAACAAACATTCTCCTTTATATAGGAGTTATAGTTCTTAATTAGAAATGTTAATTTAATTTAAAATCTAAATTTAATTAGAAATTCTTTATTAAAATATTTGAAATTCTTAATTATTTAACAATTAAATACTAATAAAAATATATATTATATAGGAATCTAATAATAATTAGAATTTTAACTATTTAAAAATGTAATACTAATTAAGATTTCATCTTTAATTGAATATTTGCATCCATATTCATCCATAACAGTGTAATAAAGATTTTTGCATCAAAAAGATTATTGACCGGTGGTTATTTCTCATCACCTTAGAGGTTGCTGAGGTTGCCAATCTTTTCAAATCTTAGATTACCCTCCTCTAGAAAATGGGCAAACTACATGAAAATGATTGGGGCTTTCATTGGCATGAACCTTAATAGGAGACAACCTGGACATTGAGTTACTGAAAGGGGCATTAAGATGGTTGGAGATTGGTTCGGTCCAGAAGGTTGGGTTATAGAGAGTTAAAATGCTGCCCCGGCTGTTCTAAGAGGAGAGTTGAAAAAAGAATTATAATGACCAAAAATGACCTGATTTAAAATAAGAAATATATGATATGAAACGAAATTGACCTGTTTTAAATAAGGAGTATTTGAAGATGACAAGAAATGGAGCAGTATAAAATCTTCAGACTTGTTTGACCATTCCATAGATTAGGATTTACAGTTGATGCAGAACAAGAAAATCTTAATGTGGAATAAATTTTTTATTGAAGAATTTTATTATAATTATTATTATAATTTAGTATCTTTGACTTATTTAGCTTCTTTAGATAGATTTGAAGTTATTAGGACTTAGCTATTTAAGTAGATTTCTCTGTAGAAGCTATGGTTTCCTATTTTCATGTTTTACTTATTAGTTCTAACTAATATCTGTTTATAGGCGAGTAACCATAAGTAAAAAGAAGAAAATAAATAAAAAGAAAGGATAGGCAATGATTAATTAACTAGTTTTTTGCAAGTGGTTTATACCCTGTTATGTCTATGTGTTTATTCTTCCGCTCAGTCCCTTTTTTTTTTTTTTTTTTTCTATATATGTTCATCTTAATCTGGAATTTCCTTTCCTCTTTCTAATTTCTCTGTTTTTCCTCTAAATTTTCAGTACTTGTTTTGCGTTAACACTTAACACTTCTAGTGGTTTTTTTTATTATTTGTCCTTTTCAAGATTTGTAAGATGCCCTATCAGTGACTTCTATGATAAACTACACCAGAAATTGACAATACAGACTTTGTAGATGTCAATTATATTACAGTTTTTCAAAATAAGTGATTAAGTTAATTAGATCCCTTCATCTAGATGCATAATGGTGTGACAATCAATTTTTAATGTATATTTTTCTTTAGAAAGTGATGTTGTGCTCCAATTGAAATATTTAACTTTTAAAAACCTTGTATCCTAAAAAGATGCAATTGATTGCAAGTTTAAATCTTGGGTTGAGATATTGATAAAAAGTACATGATATTTGAAGTAACTTATTTGAGAACCTAAAAGTACATGTTTTAAAAGTCGTCTTGTTTTGGTTAGTATGAAAAAAATCAAAATATAATTATTCTATTCAGGACTAGGAATTGAAAATAAAAAATCAGCTGATAGTTATTACAGACTTCTCTTTTTTCTAGTGGAGGTTATTGTAATTTGCATTACTTAAGTAAAACAAAGTTATTGTTATTAATTTCATTGAGAGTAATTTTTTGTTACAACTTTCAAACTCTAAGCAAAACAAAATATGAGTAAAACAAAAAGAACTTGTAAAAGAATCATGAATAAAAATAATTATATAAGTTCATTGACCAAGTTATAACCAAAAAAACTTTCATAATGTATTGTAATGTGACAAATAGTTCAACAACTGAAGTAATAATTTTTCAACTTTAAATAAGAAAACTATAGAAAATTTCTCAAGGTTTTATAATAACCATCAGCCCCTTAAAGGTGACTATCAAGATAGTTTCTGATAGATTAGCTTGATTCTTTTTGTTGCTGTTTCCAAATGGTGAAATGCTTCATGTTTGCAGACGTTGTCGCAAGTCATATTTCACCGCCTTCATGATGAATCATATATGTTTGAGCGTCGACCGCAGTTACTCCATCGCCTTCAGGTGTTGATTTGGGGTTCATTATCTCTGTCCTTTTCATATTGTTTTTATTTCTCTATTTGAGTTTCTTTGCTTGTCGAAGGTCTTATTAGGAGGGAGGGCCGCAGAAGAGGTAATTTACGGACGGGACACATCAAGAGCATCAGTCGACTACCTTGCAGATGCATCTTGGCTCGCTCGTAAAATTTTAACCATGTTGGTTCCTTGCAAATCATTATGTTCTTTCCAACAGTTCATGCTTTCTTTTATGCGAATATTAAATGTATCTTTCTCTTTTCACCAGATGGAATTTAGAAAACCCAATGGTCATACATGGAGAACCACCTCCTTGGACAAAGAAGGTTAAATTTGTCGGCCCTCGATTGGATTTTGAAGGATCACTCTATGATGACTATGGTCTGATTGAACCCCCTGTCAACTTCAATATGGACGATGAAGTTGCAGAAAGAACAGAAAAACTTATTCGCAGCATGTACGGTAAGACAGTTTCTCTTCTTAGAAGGCACCATGCTGCTCTGCTAAAAGCTGTAAAGGTAAGCTGGGTTTTGGATACGTAAAGGTTTACTTTGGAACCTTAATTGTGAATGAGTTTATCAGTGGTACGATTCAAGAGTTTTCTTGTGGATTTACATCGCAGGTTCTTCTCAATCAGATGGAAATCAGTGGAGAAGAGATTGATTTCATTTTGAATAATTATCCTCCACAAACTCCTGTGAGTCTTCTCTTAGAGGAGGAGAATCCGGGAAGTCTAAGATTCAACAAGGAACAAGGGCGTGAACTGGAGTATGTCCTCGCAAGTAATTGCAAAGCTGAGACTGGGAATGAGCTAAATGGAGTTTGAAATTTTGACAATGTAATAAATTGAAAATTTTTCTTTAATAAATTTTATTAAGAGTACATTATTAATTTTTTATTTTAATAATTTATTAATTTACTATTTTCAAGGTAAAAATATAATACTAATTTATTGCTATTAATCTTATATTTAACATAAATTATTTAAATAATTTTTATTTTTAAAATCGAACAATAGGATTTAAAAAATAATTAAAGTAATGGTGATTAAAAAATCTTTATTAAAATGTCATTAATATTATGATATTTCTTAAGTTTTATTTCATTCTTAAAAATCCAATAATTATGGCATAAAATAATTATTGAGTGAAAAAGAAAACTAAAAAATAGAAATAATAATATTATTAATGATGTGGAAACAAAAAATAATTAAAATTGGTTCCTGCAATAATCTCTCCTTTAAACGGCCAAAAGTTGTTTCCGTAGGCAGTGCGAGTGTACGACCACTCCCCTCTCGCTAAACATGCCTTTCTTCTCTCGGCTTCTTCTTCTTCTTCTTCTGTCTTTTACCTAACCCTTCTCCCTCTCTCTCTCTCTCTCTCTGCAACTTTTCAGACATGAAGCGCAATGGCGATCCTCTTATCTTAAATCTCAGATGTGAAACCAACATCAAAAACAAAACCAAAACAAAAAGTAATTTTGACAAAAACACCATTAAAAGCAGCAGCAGCAACAGCAGTAGCAACAACAACAATAACAATAGACGAACTTTCTTTGAACTCTCTTTACCTTTGATCATCTCACTCTGGTGCTTTCTCTTTTTGTTCTACTCCAAACTCGGCCTCAGCCATGAAAATGGGGGTACATTTTTCCTCTTGTCATACACACACCTTTCTTTTTCTTTGTTTCTTTTGAGAGTTAATGTGCTTTTGAATTTATGTGGACTGAATGGTTGATAGACTGAAATAAGGTGGATATCCTTTGAATCTTGTTACAATCACTAAAACACTTTGAGTATCAAACATGATCTTATATATATAGGTTCCTTTCCAAGAATTATTTTCCTACTTTTATGAATTTGAGAATCCAAAGCTACGCCAAGTTTCAATTCTTGATGTTGAATTTTGTTCATCAATACATGTTTGTTGTGTTCATTTGGTGTTAAATTTCATTTATGTTTTTCTCTTGAATTATGTTGATTGAATTGTGTCCTGCTCTAGGGAATAAGTTGGCTCCTATCAAAAGAAGCACAATCTGCTCAGGTGTCTGCAACGATTCAGATGCATATTCATATCAAAGCAAGAATTATACAGGTGGAATGCTGTTGGAACTTAAATTAAGTTGAGTGGTAATTAACTCCTCTTTTCTTCACAAATTACAGTTGTTCTCTTCCAGGAACGGAGAGACTAGGAGATGTGGTCTGGAAAGTTTTAGGTTACAAGCCTTTAGTATGTGAATTAAAGCAAAAAGAAGGGAGTAGAGATAAAAGAGAGCTGCCGGATGTGAAAACTTGTCATTCAACTTATCTGAAATTCGACAAGTTCCGCAATATAACAAGGCAGGAAAAGGCTTTGGAGACATCAAACCAGCTTGCTAATATCACCCACCGTCTTGAACTTGATGGTACAGAATACAACTATGCCTCTGCAATGAAGGGTGCAAAGGTGGTAGCTCATAATAAAGAAGCAAAAGGAGCAAGTAACATACTGGGGAAGGATCATGATAAGTACCTGAGGAATCCTTGTTCTGTAAGAGACAGTTTGTTGTGATTGAACTTGCAGAGGAGACTCTTGTTGATGCTGTCAAAATTGCAAATTTTGAGCACTATTCTTCGAATTTCAAGCAATTTGAGTTGTCAGGGAGTCTAAATTATCCAACTCAAGTGTGGTCTCCTTTAGGAAGTTTTGTTGCTGGAAATGTCAAGCACATTCAACCTTTTAAGCTGCCCGAACCAAAATGGGTTAGGTACTTGAAGTTAAATTTACTTAGTCATTATGGGTCAGGATTTTACTGCACATTAAGTGTTGTAGAAGTATATGGGGTGGATGCAATTAAAAGGATGCTGGAAGATCTTTTTGTGGCATCTGAAGAAGCTGTTCCTGCTAAACTTCCAATGCCTGAATTGACCACAGCACCTTCTTCAAAACAAGAAGTGGATTCTGTTGATGGTAAGAAAAATGGTGAAGCTCAAGTTGGAGCTGCAACTGCTACTAGTGCGGCAGAAAAAGTAGAGGATACCCGAAAGCTCAATGAAGATGTGACAAAGGAGTCAATGAGCATGGCAAAGATTCCTGATCCATTAGTAGAAGTTAGACAACAGTCTGCTGGCAGAATGCCAGGTGATACTGTTCTGAAGATCTTGATGCAGAAAGTGAAGTTGCTTGAGCAAAATTTATGCATGCTGGAGGAGTATATTAGGGAATTGAACAGAAGACAGGGTGATGCTTTATCGGAGCTAGATAAAGAGCTAACAAGAATTTCACTACTCCTGGAAAAAAGCAAAGAAGAAACCCGAGATCTAATGGCATGGAAGGAGATAATGGTACCTAATGACTACCGAGTTTCTTTTTTCTTTTAATTATTAATTTTTGAACTCCTCGGAATCAAAGAAAGCAGCTTTATACTATAATATGGATTCTTTTTCTTTCTTCCCTCAGGAAAAGGAATTTGCAGAGCTTGAGTCATGGAAAGCTATTGTCTCCTCTCGCTTGGATTTATTGGTTAGAGAAAATGGCATTCTAAGGTTGGCATGTATATTTTAGTTTTGAAAGATATATTCCCCATCATTACATATTCAACATGCCCACCTTGTTGTTTCATCTTATTGCAGATCAGAACTTGAAGAAATTAGTAAAAAACAATCAAATCTTGAGAGCAAAGAGCTTGCAGTGCTAGCAGTAAGTCTTTTCTTTATGTCCTTGTCAATTGTGAGGCTAGTTTCATGGCGGGTTTTGGCCATCTTTGGAGCGACTCAACCAGAGAAGGTTTGCCAGTCGAGTAGGGGTTGGCTTCTCACACTTCTCAGCAGCAGCATGACACTCTTCATTACCTTACTTTCGAGCTAGGACATGGCTGGCTCAAAAAGCAGAAGGTAGAGCCCCTCCTTTTTGTAGTTATGGTAGAAAACAATTCTTCAGTCTGGCTCAGTTTAGTACGTGAAAATGTTTGTTAATTTTTATTTTTAAATTTACATATATTTTATGTACAAAATTTTATAAATTAATTAACAAGGAAGAAGTAAAACTAATTAATTTTTTCAAAAATGTTGTTGATTTCTCTAGAAAATTATTTTTTTCAAAATTGTCATTATTCTACAAATATGTAATTTTTAAATAATTTTTTTAATAAATACACGCATAAAAGTATATAAATTTAAATATATATATATATATTATTTTTATGTGCTAAACAAAGCTTTTAAAATTTTATATTTTTTAGTTCTGTAAGAAGAGTAGGTAACATCTCTAATGAGGAGAAAGTTTTAATTGTTTTGTATGTAGTAGAGTCCTACCCTCAAGATTGATAAAATGTTCGATGAGTTTTAGAGATTATTATTACTAATTCAGTAATTTCCTTTCTTTCATCAAAATGATTGGGTGAAGTTATATTGAGTTGTTGGGGATTTCAGTCTAATTATAATCGGATTTATTATTTTTTTGGGGGAATATTGTTATGTTGTTTAATTTTGATATTGGTATTATGTTCCCCGTTAATTTGTCTATTATTAATTTTTTTACATATTTCTTGTGACATCTTTAGTATCCGAAGGATAAGGATAACACTGTTCGATAATAGAATAAATACGAGTGCATTTTAAAATATTAAATCTAACGGAAGATGAATTTATTTCTTACAAAATACAATGTGTATAACACTGGGGCAAAATAATTAGCTACAAATTTACAAATGATTGTTCAGCTAATCCTACAAAATATAAAATAGAGTTCATCATCGGAGTACAACGCATCAATGCACTCCTCAACCACGGATCCAGGAATGAATCTAAGCAAGCATCAATAGGTAGATCGAGAGGCAAGTCTACAGTTTTCACGTCATCTGGGGAGTTAGATTTGGGATGAATTTTATAAAATTTAGTAAGAAAAATAGTATTTAAATTACGCTGCTAAAGTTTTAAAAATTGAATTAATTTTAAGAAAATATCATTACTTTTATAGTCAGCATGCAATTACCCAAAACAAAATTATATATACATATATAAATGCTTTATGATTGATGAAATAGATGGATAAAATTATTTAAATAAATTTGAAATTTTGATAAATTAAGAAAAGGGACCATAGGGACTTAATTGGAAAGTTGTTGAGAAATTGAAAGTTGTATAATCAACCGCTATGATTTATTTCTCAAATTTCGACCGTTCAAATTTAATTAAAGTGACTATAAATATAATTAGGTTTTTCAAAATTTAGCAACAAAACCCTAAGAGACTTAGGAGTTGTCGGGTAAGGAAGGGAGGAGAGGGGAAGTAGCCGCACGAGTTCACTTTGGCAACGTACCGTCATTGATCCAACAGTAAATCCTTCACTTTAGATGACTTATGTCCACTTTAATCTTAAATCTCAAATTATTTCAGTATCCTACACTGAATGCCAAGATAATATAAAGTTTGTCGGCTCATTTTATACAGATAGTCGATAAAAGAAAGATTCACCGCAACGTGCCTGTCGTCTGTCCTAAATTTAGGAAGAAAAAAAAAGTAGTTTATATTCTAAATTCCTATATTTAAGTTAATATAGTGATTTAATTCATTACTTGTGATGAGATTAAAACTTTTTATGATTAGTGTGAACATTCTAATGAATGTTGTGATAGATATTTAAAAAATATGAAATGATTGGGTGTTTGAGGTGAGGGAGTCAGCTATTATCAAATGCATGTAGGGTTTTGGGGTTGAAGACGATTTTGAAGAGGTTTTGATGTCGGGTAACCCGTAGGGTCCAGATCTGAGCTCATAGTAATATTGTTAAACCTGAACCCAGTAAATTTTCTGAATGGGTCTGTTAGTAAAACAAAGAGGGAAAGATAAGTGTAGATGAACCGAACCCAAGCCCAAGCCCAAGCCCAAGTGGGTGTGTATATGTATTGGACTTAGTTGTAAGTTGTGTTATGGGCTTAGTAAAAAATGAGTCAAAGAAAAGGGAAGGGAAGATAAATGTTTAGGTAGATCGAGCCCAATAGAGAAATGGGCCTAGTAAGGTGGCCCTTATTGTTTTAGTGAGTTTGATGTAACAATTGATCAAAGTTTGAGCAAAAAAAAAAAAAAGATGAATTAGAGGTATTGAGAAATTAATAAAATGGGTTATTCTTTTGGGCTTTTTAACCTATGAGCAAATTTGAATTAAGGGTTGTTTGGGTTCTTAGTCTATAGCCCAATAAAAAGAATCTATATTCCAAGCAATGAATAGAAATTGTTGGCTAGAGATCTAGAATCTTGGTTGAGAAAATGTGTTACAACAAAAAAAGAGTAAATTATATAAAAAGTAGCATTACTAATGGATATGATATCTTAAATAAATATTATATATGTGATTTGGTTTAATAACTAATATAGTGGATAAGTTATTTACGAATTTATAGAAGAGTTGCGATTGATCGAATTATGATAACGATATGTACAATAAGAAAAATATAGAAATCATTGGGTGTCTATGAATTAGTGGAGAATTTTAATAATTCATATGTGAATAATTTGGAGTTTAAATGTTGTGATCCATCTTCTAATATCCTAATTAAATTAAGATATTGTAGAAGTTGATGAGTTCTAAAATGATGATAACTTAAGTAGAAATGTTAAGATATTATATGAAGCAAATTACGATAGAGAATACTTGGGATTAACAATAAAGATTTTTCTTACTATTGAGATGTGAGTATATGTGTCATCCAGGATTGGTTAAGAATGATTACAAACTCTATATCATTGACCGTATATTGCTTCGTAACTATTACTGTAACTATGACTTGTTTTCCTATGAGACGATGTGAATCGTAACTATGACTGTGACTTTGACTGTGATTATGATTGTAACTATGATAGTAACTATAATGTATGAAGATGTTACTATCCATGTTGATTGTGTGAGTATCATTTCCTTCTGTGATTGTGGCTAACCGTTATCATATGAAACAATACAGTTTATGCATGTGTATGAGTTATGTTTAGTAAATGATGAGAATTTATTATTATATGAATAAGTGAAATTAATAGGAATACGATATTGTATTTATGAGCCTAAGAGTGAGCCAAAAGTAATCTATTATAATGTAGTTATATGATTTGAAAATATATGAGAATAAAAAATATTATATATGCGAATATGTGTGTGGTTATGGCATTATGATATTGAGAATGAGAAATGGTGATTATTTTCTAAATTGAA